ATCACTATATGTGGCTGGGCACAGTGGCTCATGCCTGTAATCCCAACACTTTGGGAGGCCAAGGCGGGCATATCACCTGAGGTCAGGAGTTCGAGACCAGCTGGGCAACATGGTGAAACCCTGTCTCTACTAAAATACAAAAAATTACAGGGCATGGTGGCGCATGCCTATAATCCCAGCTACTCAGGAGACTGAGGCAGGAGAATCATTTGAACCCAGGAGGTGGAGGTTGCAGTGAACTGAGATTGCACCACTGTACTGCAGCCTGGGTGAAAGAGCAAGACTCCATCTCAAAAAAAATAATCACTGTACAAGAATGGACTTTCAGTGGGAGAAGGCAGGATTGCTAAGGAAACTGCTACAATGATCCACATGAATACTGATGCGTTGGCATTGCAGGTAGAGTGAAGTCCAGAAATTAAGGAAGACAGTCAAGGTCCTAAGACTGGATATAGATGGCCCTTGATTAATCACAAGTTGTTTGTAATTGACCTGTTATATAATTCATGTTACCTAGTGTCTTTTTGTTTTAGTTGTGGGGAGCACCAGATTACAGAATGATTACTTGACTCATAACTTGGGGCTTTTTACAATTCTTACCGGAAACTGGCAGGTGATAAATCAATCACCTTATTTGGTAGCAAAATAAGGTTACTTTCTTGCATAAACATAATTTCCTCTTTTCAGTATTTCAGTCTTACATTACCAGGAGGAACTTGAAGTCTTGTGATTAGGCCATTTCTTTGTAAGGGAAAAGGAGGCTTACTATCCCTTTGGTAACAGTTCTTTACTGATAGGGTAAGAAGGAAAGGTTGAGTTCGAACAATGCTAAAGGAAACACTTCAAAGTAAGACATCCACCGAAGACCCCTAGCCATTTTGCCTACTGTAACCAAGCTGGGAGACTTAGCTTGTCCATTTCATGTTCTATTTCTCACAATCATCTGTGTTTGCGTGTCAATACACCTTAAAGAGAAGGCCTAACTCCAAAGTTTCACCTTTTACCTTGATGGAGAACTCTATTTTTATTTTTATTTTTTGAGACAGGGTCTTGCCCTATTGCCCAGGCTGGAGTTCAGCGGTGTAATCTTGGCTCATTGCAGCTTCAGTCTCCTGGGCTCATTCAACCCTCCTGCCTCAGGAGCTACTTCCTCCTGAATAGCTGGGACTACAGGTATATGCCACCATGCCTGGCTAATTTTTTTTTTTTCTGTTATAGAAATGAGGTCTCATCATGTTGCCCAGGCTGGTCTTGAATTCCTGGGATCAAGCGATCTTCCAGCCTCAGCCTCCCACAGTGCTGGGATTACAGGCATGAGCCACCATGCCCAGCCATGCTATATTTTTAAAACATAGAATATTGATCCTTTGAGCTGGATTAATATGGAAAGATACAACAATCCAATAAAAAATAAAGAATTGTGAAACCTCATCAATTTTTATGCCACTAACCTAAAATTCTAATAACCCAGGGCTTAGTTAGCAAATTAGTCATATAAATGGCATAATTATAGGGATATTTAAATTCTTTACCAAAAGAAGCTGCTTTTAAAGCCTACTGAAATACCTATTTATTACTAATAATGGCTAACATTATTGACACTTATAATGTTGCTGGCACTCTTCGTTGTCTCATTTAATTTTCACAGCAACTCTAAGAGCTAGGTATTATCACTCCCCTTTTTGAAATAAGGAAATTGAAGCTCAGAGAAGTTAAGGAGGTCGCCGTGCGAGTTGGCTCATGCCTGTAATCCCGGCACTTTGGGAGACTGAGACAGGTGGATCACTTGAGGTCAGGAGTTCGAGACTAGCCTGGCCAACATGGCAAAACCCCGTCTCTACTAAAAATACAAAAATTAATCAGGCATGGTGATGTGTGCCTGTAATCCCAGCTACTCAGGAGGCTGAGGAATAAGAATCGGTTGGAGGCAGAGGTTGCAGTGAGCCAAGATCACGCCACTGCACTCCAGCCTGGGTGAGAGAGTAAGACTCTGTCTCAAAAACAAAAGTTAAGGAACTTGCTTAGGATCAAATAACTAGTGAGTAAAAGAGACAAGGATTCCAATCCAGGTCTGTGATGGTAAACCCCACATACAGAACATTCGTGCTCTATCTTGCCTTCCACAGATCACTCAGCCATGCATGAAAGTAAGGCCTGAAAAGTGTCTTTATTAGGTTGCCCTTCATTAATCTAGTTCCAGTCATATATAATAAAATGGAATGTCTTTCCAAAATTTCATAATTTAGATTTCACTCATTGAGGCTGACTCCCCCCACCCCCATACATTCCCACAGTTGGAATCAGTGACCTTTTACTATATGTTGCATTGAATGTCCTTATAGTTGGGGGTCATGAGAGAAGCTAAAGTCTAACTTGGACAAGATGATGACTGGCATTGCCAGGGTTGTGCAGCAACAGTAATGGGGTGGGGTGTCCCGCAAGGGCATGAGTTAGGTGGCTGTCAGGTGCAGCATAAGTTGTAGTGCGAAGCCTTGGAGCCTGGAGGCCAAGGTCAGAGTCACCAGGAGGCAGGATCCTGGAGTGCAGATTGCAGTGGCCCAGTAGGCAGAGCATCTGGCTTCTAGGCCTGCCTCTGCTACGCACCAGCTGGGGGCTTTGGTTAAGTTGCTCTGCTTCTCCAGGTGGTAGGTTTTCATTTGTAAAATGAATAATTGAACAGGAAGATCTTAGGGTCCCTTTCAGATTTGGGTCTCTGGTTTAGGGAGCTGCATTATTGGAGCCTAAAGTAATCAAGGCCTTCAAGATCTAGTCATCAGAAGGAGAGCAAGAAAGAGCCAGCTTTCATGGTCAGGGGCAACAAAGAGGTGGCTCACGCCTGTAATCCCAGCACTTTGGGAGGCCAAGGCAGGAGGATCACCTGAGGTCAGGAGTTTGAGACCAGCCTGGCCAACATGGCAAAACCCCATCTCTACTAAAAGTATAAAAAATAGCTGGGTGTGGTGGCGTGCACCTGCAATACCAGCTACTCTGGAGGCTGAGGCAAGAGAATTGCTTGAACCTGGGAGGCAGAGGTTGCAGTGAGCCAAGATCACACCACTGCTCTCTAGCCTGAATGACAGAGTGAAACTCCATCTCAAAAAAAAAAAAAAAAAAAAAAAAAAAGAGTCCAGAAAGCCTGATTTGAATCAGTAAAATCTAGTTTTCACACTGCTTCTCTGATTGTAATTCATTCTTCTACCGATTTTTAAGCAGAGTGGAAGAGAGAAAAGCTAAGTAAAACGTGGTCCTAGGCATCACAGGTCTCATAATCTCCTGAGGGAAAGAGACTGGAAACAACTAACTAGAATATAAAACAGAATAAAATCTGTTCATTACCTGCTGTCTGACCTTGGTCAAATCACTTAACCTGTCCCTGAGCCTCAGTTTCCTCAGCTGTAACAACAGACACATAGGCAGTCAATAAATGTCAGTATTGGTACTGGCAGTAGTAATATGCAATACATGTGTGATATTTTGTACTATGCCATTACATCTTAGTAAAATAGAACCATCAAAATGTCTTGTGAAGAGAGAAATGAAATGAATTTTGATATTTGTTTTCTGCAAAGATTCTACATTACACTGTATGTCTTGACCTCTCATTTTTATAACTCATGAATAAAATTATATGAAAATGCTTTAAAATTTCCAGCCCACTCTTATAGTGAGCATTTTATGTACTCATTCAGCAAACCATTCATTGAGCACCGATCATGTGTCAGCTGCTGGTTAAGGCACTAGAGATACAGAAATTAACAAGACCTAGTCCTCACAGAGTTCACAGCACACTAGCAGAAGCCAATATGTAAATTGAACATGATTACAATACAATTGTGAAAGAAGCCTCTTTGAAAGATTGTCTATATTAACCATCTCCAATCTTTCTCTTCTCATTCTCTCTTTTTTTTTTTTTTTTTTTTTTTTTTTGAGAGACAATCTCTCTCTGTCGCTCAGGCTGGAGTGCAGTGGGGCTATCTCAGCTCACTGCAACCTCCGCTTCCTGGATTCAAGCTGTTCTAGTGCCTCAGCCTCCCAAGTAGCTGGGATTACAGGCGCCCACCACCATGCCTGGCTAATTTTTGTATTTTTAGTAGAGACGGGGTTTTACCACGTTGGCCAGGCTGGTCTCAAACTCCTGACCTGAAGTGATCCACCCACCTTGTCCTCCCAAAGTGCTGGGATTACAGACGTGAGCCACCATGCCCAGCCCCATTCTATCTTAAATCTTCCAGTTAGACATTTGCTCCACCACCCAGTAAACTTCTCTTTTATTTTTTGAGACAGGGACTCACTCTATCACCCAGGCTGGAGTACAGTGGCACAATCATGGCTCATTGCAGCCCCAACCTTGAGGGCTCAAGCAAGCCTCCCACCTCAGCCCCCCAAGTAACTGGGACTATAGGTGTGCACCACCACACCCAGCTAATTTATATATTTTTTGCAGAGATGGGAGTCCCACTATGTTGCTCAGGCTGGTCTTGAACTCCTGGGCTCAAGCAATCCTCCTGCCACAGCCTCCCAAAGTGCTGGGATTGCACATGTGAACCACCACACCCAGCCAAAACTTCTTTTTATGATAACTGGTGACCTCCATGTGTCTAGATCCAGTGGTCAATTCTGAGTCCTCATCTTACTGGGCCCTCAGCAGCTCCCTCCTCCTTGACATAACACCTTCACTCGGCTTCCTGGATGCCACACTTTCCTTTTCCTTCTTCACCTACTACTCATTCACAGTCTTTGCTGTGCCTCCTATTTCCTTGACCCCTACATGTGGAAGTATCCCCAGGCTCAAGCCCTAAGTGATCTCATCTGGTCTCCTGGCTTTAAATACCATCTGTGTACTGACGACTCCCAAATTATGTCTCCAGCCCTGACCTCTCCCCTCAACTCCAGACTTCTGTAGCCAACTCCCCATCTCCATTTGAATGGCTAACAGGCATTGCACAGTTGAACTCCTGATGCTTCCGCCCACCCTCAAAAAACAAAAACAAAAAGCCAACCTGCTTCTCCCATAGCATTCCCCATCTCAGTTAATGGCACTTCCGTCTATCCCGTTGCTCAGACCAGAAACATTAGAGCCATCCTTTAACTTCTTACATAGGATGACAAAAGAAAAACAAAAGAAAAAATTTTAAATAAAGCCATCCTTGACTCCCCTCTCACACCCTCATCCAGTGTTGACTCCACCTTCAGAATATATCGAGTCTGACCACTGCTCACCACTCCACAAGTAGCATCCCAGTCTAAGCTACCATCATCTCTTGCCTGAATTACTCTAGTAATCTCTTAACCAGTCTCCATCCTACTTTTTCCTCCATCCTTGAGTCTTTTTCAACACAGCAGCCAAAGTGATCATGTGAAAATATAAATTAGGTCATGCTACTCTTCTATTCATAACCCCCCACCCCCACCAGCAACCTGTCTTCTCACTCAGTAAAAGCCAAAATGCAGGTCGGGCATGGTGGCTCATGCCTATGATCCCAACACTTTGGGAGGCTGAGGCGGGTAGATCACCTGATGTCAGGAGTTCGAGACCAGCCTGGCCAACATGGTGAAACGCCATCTCTACTAAAAATACAAAAATTAGCCGGGCATGGTGGCACACTCCTGTAATTCCAGGTACTCAGGAGGCTAAGGCAGGAGAATTGCTTGAACCCGGGAGGCAGAGGTTGCAGTGAGCCAAGATTGTGCCATTGCACTCCAGCCTAGGTAACAAGAGCAAAACTCCATCTCAAAAAAAAAAAAAAAAAAAGCCAAAACGTTTACTGTGTGGCCTACCAGCCTTATACAATCTGGCCATCATTTCCTTTCTGAAGTCATATCCCTTCACTCTCTATTTTGTTCATTCCATTGCCACCACATTAGCCTCCTCATTGCCTCTCTAACACCCCAGACATGCTCTTGTCTCCCGGCCTTTGAAGATATCTACAACTCGCTTCCTCACTTCCTTCAGATCTCCACTCAAAAGTTATCTTCTTGGTGAGGTCTTCTCTGATTACCCTAATAAACACTTCCGCATCCTCCAGATACTCCCTGTATGTTTCCCCTGCTTTTATTTTATCCAGAGCACTCACCTCCTCTTAGTATTTGGCATTATTTGCTTATTTATTTTCTTTCTTTCTCTACTCTTCCCCTGCAATTAGATCTTCAGCTTTATAGGAACAGGGACTTTTGTCTGTTTGGTTCACTAATGTATCCTGAGTGTCTGGCATATACTAAGTATCAATAAATATGCAAATAAATGAATAGTCTTTAGAGGGGATAATGGGAGTACAAAAAAGAGCGGGCCAGATGCACTGGCTCATGCCTGTAATCCCAGCACTTTGGGAGGCCCAGGCAGGTGGATCACGAGGTCGGGGGACCATCCTGACCAAAATGGTGAAATGCCATCTCTACTAAAACTACAAAAATTAGCTGCACATGGTGGCGGACACCTGTAATCCTAGCTACTCAGGAGGCTGAGGCAGGAGAATCGCTTGAACTTGGGAGGCAGAGGTTGCAGTGAGCAGAGGTCATGCCACTGCCCTCCAGCCTGGGTGACAGAGTGAGACTTTATCTCAAAAACAAAAAGAGCGAAGGAGTGCAGTCAGTATGATTGGGGTGAGTGACACTTTTCATGCTGGAAAAGTTGTCATGAAGGGCCTTACATATTATTCTAAGGATCTTAGATTTTATCCTATAGGTGGTAAAAAGTCAACAAAGGAGTCAGTGGTCTGAATTAGAATCTTAGAAATGTGTTCTGACTGTAGTATAAAAGAATGAAGCCGGGCACAGTGACTCACACCTGTAATCCTAGCACTTTGGGAGGCCGAGGTGGGTGGATCACTTGAGGTCAGGAGTTTGAGACCAGCCTGGCCAACACGGGGAAACCCCATCTCTACTGAAAATACAAAAATTAGGTGGGTGTGGTGGCGTGCACCTATAATCCCAGCTATTTGGGAGGCTGAGGCAGAAGAATCGCTTGAACCCAGGAGGCAGATGTTGCAGTGAGTTGAGATCGTGCCACTGCACTCTAGCCTGAGTGACAGTGAGACTCCATCTCAAAAAAAAAAAAAAAATGGAGAATTGGAGGCTGGATGTGGTGGCTCACACCTGTAATCCTAGCACTTTGGAAGCCTGAGGTGGGAGGATATGTGAGCCCAGGAGTTCGAGACCAGCCTGGGCAACATAGGGAAACCCTGTCTCTATTAAAAAAAAAAAAAAAATAGCTGGGCATGGTGGCACATGCCTGTAGTCCCAGCTACCCTGGAGGCTGAGGTAGGAGGATCACCTGAGCCCAGGAGGTTGAGGCTGCAGTGAGGCATGATTGCATTCCAGCTTGGGCAACAGAGTGAGACTCCATCTCAAAAAAAAAAACAGAAAAGAATTGAAAATGACAATAGTGGGTCCAAGAGACCAGTAACAGACTGCTGCAGTGATGCACACATGAGATGGTGATAGCCTGAACTAACGGAATGCCAGAGGGGATAGAGAGGAGGGGCTGGATTTGAGAAATGCTCTATTTAGAAGACAGGACTGATAGGACTTGATGATTGCTTGGATGGGGCAGTAAGGGTGAACAAACGAAGAAATCCCAGGTTTCGGGCTTGGAGTAGCTGGTTGAACAGTACGACCATTCATCACTGAGATAAGAAGTACAGAAGAGGCTGGGCGCGGTGGCTCACGCCTGTAATCCCAACACTTTGGGAGGCCGAGGCGGGTGGATCACGAGGTCAAGAGATCGAGACCATCCTGGTCAACATGGTGAAACCCCATCTCTACTAAAAATACAAAAAAAAAAAAAAAA